TTGTCACCCATCGTCTTTCCTGTACACTCTGTAATGTTGTCCTCCCATCTCCTTCTCTGCCTTCCTCTCTTTCTCTTTCAGTTTTGACACATAAAATGTTTAGCGTTTTCTGTATGGAAACCAGAAAAATTAAAACTGTGCAAAGTATAACGAAACGAAATCTTATCGGGCGATGAAAAACGAGTCACTCAAAGATCCCGTACTAAGAATTTAAAAGTAAAACGGCAAAAGTATGAAAATCATTTCTGTTAAGTACACAGTTTCCACTTTCATTCTTTGTAAAAAAATAATTTAAAAAACACAACAAAAAAGAAAAAATCAACAACGTTTTACCAACCAATAAACAAAATTTGCTACGCTTTAGAGGCGGGCTGTTTTGGACCCAAGGATGCGAAAATTGTATCTTCGCAGAAAGAAAAAGACACCTGAGATTTATTACAATATAATATCTTCTCTTCAAAGGACTCGAACTCGTCTGTTTCGCTAGACTTGTTAGAAGCATGAATCACTGCGCCAAAGACTGGGGTACTATGGTCTAGAAGCTCCTGAATCTTTCATCTGGATAGTTGGAGTCAGGGAAACACTAACCAATCACGGCATCCCCCTGACCCAAGCTCTCCGGCTGGCTATAGAGAGACGTCTCTTTCTTCCTCTGACACCCAAAAGGGTATAAGCGGCGGATAAAAGTAAAAATAAAGTATCAGCTTTAATTATACTTTAAAATTTTGTTTTGTTTCCGTTATTGTTGGGTTTGGTTTCTTTAAAAAAAAATTTGTTAGGCTCCTTGACATTTTTGTCACTTATAAACTACCAAAAATAACAACTTTTAAAGCTGGTTCGTGAGAAAAGTCATTAACTCACAAACCGGTACCGGTACTCATTTATTTAAAACATAAAAAAGTTATTCGGATAACTAGATTCATGGCTTGGATTTTAAGCAGCTACACTGTGAAGATGACTACCTTCTGAAGCACAATTTTTTTGGCAGTCATTGGCAGTCACTTTCTGCAAGAGGCTCTCTGAGTTGTGTAAGTGTCTCTTTATGTGGTCGCGAATCTTCGGTGGAGAGGAGGCTGAAAACTGGGACTAACTGACTTTGACTGGGACTAGTTGACCTTGAATGACTTCGCCAGTCTGGCACTAGGAAGCGCACGCATATTGTGGTAAGACTTAACAATCGTGTTTTTCTCTTTTTTTTCCTCTCTAACTTTGCCGTAACACAATGTAAACGTATAAAATTTATTTATTTTTCTATTTATTTCATTTATTTATTTATTTATTTATTTATTTATTTATTTATTTGATTCATTCATATATTGAACACATCAAATCATCACTATTGGAAGAAGCCCACGTAGAATGCTCTCCTATAAAACCAATTAGGAAGAAACACATTAACTCAGTTGCCTTTTTTATGAACACTTGAATAGATAAAAGCGCCTTGAACATTTAGCTCTCACTGATAAAAGTGGCGTCGGTGGCCTAGTGGTTAGGCTCTCGGACTCGCAACCGTAAGGTCGTGGGTTCGAATCCCGTCAGGGGCCCGACGTTGTGTCCTTGGGAAAGACACTTTACACGAATGTTCCTCACTTCACCCAGGTAGAAATGGGTACCCAG